CCCCCCCACCACCCACCACCGTAGGCTCCGTGTATGGAGAAGGGAGGGGAAATGTCGTTGAGAACACTAGCGTTGAGAAAGGCTGTTGTGGTGGTAGTGGTGCTCGTGGCAGTGGTCCACGTTGTCTTCTTGCCGTACATGAAGCAGACAGAAGACAAGGTGAGGCCAGCGCTTCATAACCACCGACAAGCTCGACGGGGTGAAGGAAGCCTCACCCACAGCCCACTCAGCGCAGCTCGAGTCCACCGATTCTTTGATCCACGTGGAGGATGCTGGAACTGCTATCCTGGTCTCAACGCGGTAGCGTGTGCGGGGGCTTCCGAGTGGGTGGCGGGCGAGTTGAGCAAGACGTACGTCCGCGAGACTAGGTTTCCCGCCGCGGTCGATCCGTATGTCAAAGACGCAACCACTGCGCAGCTTGTGTCACCGTATGCAGGGGACGAACCGATGTCCGTCAGCGCGGCGATCCAATGTTGTGCACTGAAGCTGCCTCCAGGTATGGATGACGGCGCGCCTGTGTACTCTGGGAGCCAGTGCCAGCTGCGCAACGCATCGAGTACGTTGCCGCGCAAGATGAGCATGGAGGTCGGCGAGGCAGACACACATCCGCACTTTACGGTCTTTACTGGAGTTGGCGGCAGTGCGGACAAAGAGGCGCAAATGCTTGGTCGGACACTCGGGTATGGGTGGCCGAAGCTTCTGGAGGTGTACGCGAACAGAGTAGCTGATTCGCCGCCTGACAGCCTTGTGTACGACGATCGGGTTGTCGTTGTCATCCACGACATGTGGTCTGGTAACTTCTGGCACACCTTCCACAACAGGCTCATCCGGACGTTTGGAACGATGGCGACCCTTGTAGATGAGGGCCTCATCACTTGCAGTGCCGAGAATCCGCGTGCATGCGACATCGCCCGTGACAAGGTTGTCCTCGCCTTGCCGGTCCCACTCACGCCAGTCGGCGACGTCGACTTTGCGGAGCTTCTCGGAGGAGGACAAGAGCTGATGACCGCCGACAACGTTGTGTATCGTCGGATTGTGATAGGAGCGTCGACGCTTCTCGACGCCAACTCGCGGGTCATCGAGCCGCGGTCAATCATCCTCCTCGGCCACTTTGTCCGGTGGTACAATCTCCAGCTTGGCGTCGACCGTCCACTCCCAACGATCTCCATCGACGATGCTCTCAAGAGCAAGGATGTACCGCGGCTTCTCCTCGTGGAGCGGGTTCGCAAGCGGGCATGGGCCAACCCGCACGAGATTCTCGACTGGGCCCGTGGGCGCGGCCTGGAGGTCGACACTATCCAGTTTGAGATTGCGAGCCATGCCGAGGTTGTCGACAAGTTGGCCGCCGCCACAATTGTTGTAGCGGTCTCTGGGGCCGGGCTCACCAACCTCATCCACATCACACCAGGCACGGTTGTCATCGACGTGCTCCCTGTGGCCTCGTTTGGGCTGGAGGAGAAGGTGACGACTGACGTCTGCATCTTCTCGCAGTTGACCAATGCGCGGGGCGGAGTCATGATCAAGATTTATGACTACCACGGCGACAACACAGTCCCCATCTCGTTTGTCAACCGCGACCACTTTGACGGCGTGCTCAACCAGGCGCTAACACTCGGGATCCACTCGGCGATGGCACCGAGTTGGACATGGGTTAATGTCCCGCCGGTTGAGTCAGGAGTGTTGATGGCGCCAGAAGACCTCGGCGAGTTTATTGCCTCCGGATTCCCCGGCGCGTCCCGTGAGCATGCAGACGAGCTCTACGCGTCGTGGCCGCCGTCGATGGCGGGTAAAGTGTGAGCGGGTGAACCGGCGGGCGGGATGGCGATGACGACATCGGCGACAATCAATCGCACCAGGTCAACTGTCTTTGCACCCTTTGTACTTGCTCTCCAGCCCTAGCTCGCACTTCTGATCCCGAGCTATCGCCTCCACCCTCCACCTGAGCCTTGACCTTGACCTCGCCTGTCCGCTTGTTTGGGTGCTGCTCACTAGGGCCCGCCCGGCAGCGATCCGGTGGTGATGGTCATCTACAGCGGCCGTCTTTCCAGTCATACATGCTGCATCCATCCCTCTCTCACGTCATATCCCGCTCCATCTCCCTATCTCTGCTCACCAGTCGCAGCCTCAGCCACAGCCCCGGCCACCGCCTCGGGTCGCAGCAGAGCCGGCTGGCGATGAGCAGGCCGGCGGGGGGCAAGGCCGGATGAGGGAAAGGAGAAACAGACTGGTAGTCATTGACAATGTTGTGGCTATTCGGATGCTTCGCTTTCAATGCCCTGACGATGGCTAGCTTGCTCTCGGTGGTGCCGGCGGTGGTCGGTCGGCGGCGGGCGGCGGTCGACGGCGAGCAGCCGGCGGTCGGCAGCGGTGCTGTTGACGGGATGGTATCGGCTGATGTGCGTATCGGCGGGTAGGAAGTGGTTGGCTATGTTTTCAGGGATAGTGGGTATGTGCGGTGTGGATGTGGTGGTTGTGGGTGGAGATGGTGGGGAGTGGGGGTCGGAGATGGGCCTGAGAAGGGGGAGTCAGCAGCATCGAAACGACACCAGGACGACAAGTTGGGCCTCAGGTGGCAGAACTCGGATTCTGGAATACAGCAGCTGTGGATTGGAGACTGTGCAAGGGGGTAGTGTGGGCATGTCGTAGAGTAGTAGTGAAATCCGAATGGCCATATCTTGCAATGAGGTTGGTGGGGGTTGTGTGCGGGGTCGGGCGGTCGAGGACGTGCTCAAGCACCTAGGCAAAACAAGTCGACGCGGAAATGAGCCGAGGAAGATGGGTATCGATGACAGCGATATTGATACTGGAGATAGTGTGGGATGTGTGATGACCTTGGGTGTCGTCGCGGGTTGTGTAGCTGGCAGTGGGTGGGAGCTACGTGGTGATGAAGGTGGGCTGGTCGGGCAAGAGGGAGGCGGCTGGCGGCTGGTGGTCGGCGAGGCAGGGGCAGCTGAGGGGTGGGATGGGGGCTGGGTGGCTTGAGATTGCAGTTGGTTGGTGGATGGGCAGTAAGGCATATGATGGTTGAGAGTTGTGGGTGTCGAGGTCGGGAATAAGGATGCGGCTGAGCTGGAGTAAGGAGAGGAGGAGGAGGAGGAGGAAGAGGAAGCCAAGTGCGCGATGGGATGGTGGTGGCGATGGCCACGGAATGAGGGTGGGGACTGTGGCTAGGATGATAGTGATGGTGGTGGGGTAGGGGGTGGGGGTGGTCGTTTGTGGTGACGGGTGGTAATGAGTATGGTAGGGGGGGATGAGGGGGATCGTGACGTGGGGTCGTGACGGGCGAAATGGTAGTAGGTATGGCGATTGGGCTTGAGCATTGATGAAGGTGAGCATGATACGGCTGATGGGTGTGTGTGGGGTGTGGGCGATAGGGGCGGCGGGTACTTGGCCGGCAGAGGGAAGGCGGCGGACGTTAATTGAGTTGAACGTTGAATTAATTGAAGAAAAGCCGGAACCAGCATCAAACGAGGCAATGACGACCACAACAACAACCACAGATCATACATAGCATTTGCAACACACATATGAGAAAACCAACAGGGTCTGAGTAAGGCTGGCAGGCAATGGGATGAACTCGGGTGACGTTGAGGTCGATGAGGCAGAGCGCGGTTGATCGTTCAGATCAGCAGATCAACCATGACCACGACACAACAGGGTCAACACAAAATACATTGCATGCAAAACTACTGACAATGACAAACGACAACAAAGATGAGAATCGATAGTGTAGTGAGCAAGGCCCGATGGTGGATGTGGAAGTCAAGGTCAATGAAAATAGGAGAATCAAGAACAGTTGAAGCATGACGAAAAATGATCAAAAGCAACAACAAGAGCAAAGGCAATGATCAATTAGGATGCATGTCGATTACGGTCAACCATAACAGGCAATAGCAACCAAAGCAAAGCATAAGGGCAGACAATAGCAACATCACAGCCTGCGACACCATGAACGCCAAAGAGCAAGGAACATGGTCAGCCAACAAGAACAGAAACAGAAAGAATCGAATGATCAATTGACAATGATAAATGACAATCAATTGAATGTCAAACAATCGAACGAGTGACAAGAGGCGAATCATGAAAATGTTGAATGACATTCATGTCAACCATCAACCCGCACATGCCACTCGGTCGAACGAGTGACACCGGCAAGTGTCAATGGGGGGACGAAGATTGTGAATCAGCATCAAACAATCAATTCAGGCCCGTGCACAGCAATGCGCATGGTGCGGTGGAGAATGAGTATGGTCGGGTGGGTGCGAAATGTAGATGTGGGTCATGGATGGGATGCGAAGGGGTGGCAAGGAGGCCAGTGAGTGGCAAGTGGAGTGAGTGGTGGTCGGTGGGGAGGAATGGAGTGGGGCTAGGGTTGATGAGGCATCAGCTAGGGTTGACGAGGCATCAGCTAGGGTTAGGGTTAGGTGCAGCTTGGGGTCGGTGCCGGGGGTGAGGCTTTAGGGGGGGAGGGGTCCGTGGTCTGGCGGAGGGTGAGGCTTCAGGCTTCAGAAAGCTAATGCCTGAGTTCCCGAGGCTTCAGGCATTATGCCTGGCTGAGGCCTCAAGGCCTGACCCGGCAGAGCTAATGCCTCAAATGAGCCAATTAGTTCTCCCATGGGAGCTAAAGCCTCGAAGAGCGGCATTAGCTCCGAGGTCTGGGAGGCATAGGGTTAATGCCGGGCTTAATGTCTGAGGCCAGAACTAAAGCCTTAAAGCCTGAGAACTGAAGAACTTAGAGACATAAACCCTATGCCCGGGCATTATGCCGATTT